TTTTAACTATATTAAGTTCTTGTTTCATTATTGTCAATGCAATATGTGTATATGTAGAGCTTTACTTGTTAAGTCATTGTTAGCTTACCTTTCCCCTTCCCTCTCTTTTTTAATTTCCCCTCTGTAGATAGGTAAAAGATGAATAAAGGTGTGAGTAAGTTTCAAGCTATGAAGTATATATAATTAGTTTAAGTTCTTAGTTGAGCTGGAAGATTTATTTAATAAAGAACATTTTTTGATTTATTATGAGATATTCATTATTAATATTTTTAAGAATTTGTAATAAAAGTTGATGTTATTATAAAAGCAAATAGTCTTCATTTATCTATTTGTATAAAATATATTATATTATTATATATTTGAATGATTAGTCATTAATTATGAATAATTATAATATTAACAACATAACATATTCATTACAATCTCATGAAAACAAGATTAATCTTTATTATTATGGTGATCATGTCTTTAATTATTATTTAAAAAAACAATATTTTTCCATATAATATCCTTGCAAACTTGAAAATCATAGGTATGGATTAAATAAGCATACTTAACATCCAATATATTTTTTTTATAATAAAATTTCTCAAAAAAAAAATATATCAACCATGATATGATTAAGTTAAAAAATAGAAAGATACATGAAAACTCTAATTATAGTTTTCATCAATCCAAATAGTTTTATTTATCAAATTCAAAAGTATCATTGCTACACACATAGTTACGTATATTTTACTATATTAATATTATTAGATAATAATTCAACTCAAAATTGATGTAGAACTTAACTCTACAATCATAGAAACCCTACAAATTTTACAATAATTAGATATTTATTCATAATAATGCATTCATAAAATGACCAAAAACATTTATACCGATTTAAAGTGTCTCTTTTCTCTTTAATTAAACTTTCTCCACCACCAACCCCCAAGGAAATTCACAAATCATTACTATCTTATACAGAATATTAATCCTTTATCAATTCCCAAATTTCACACTAAACCCATCTTCTCTAGTGGTTCTTGGCAATTTTTTCAACAAAGTACAACGCAAACGATGGGTGGGGCGATGAATTGGACGGCTAGGAACGAAGGAAGGTACAATTATTGGAGTTAATGGTACACGTGGCATTCACATAGTAAACGAGGGAATCATGATTCATGAAAGCGACGGCAAGTTTCGGGTTTGGCAACTTGTGAAGGGCGGCGTGTACGGCGTCACTTTCACAAGAAATTTTTAAGGGCGAAAAGATGAAAAAGTTTGCTCGACCGGTATTTCCGGTGAGAAAGAACAAAATACGTGTCAACATCAGGTAACTTCCAGCGATTGGAAAACCTCCTCGCTCGTGACTCTCCAATAACTTTATCTTAATAGACGACTTGGGGCCCATATACTAACTTTAATCACTTTATTAAAGGCATTCCTCCAATGCTCCACTCGAGCCACTCGGTTTTAGAATGTTGCAACGCCATGCTCAAAGTTTTCAGTTTCTTACAACGTTTGTTAAAAAAAAAAGGTAAAGGGAGAAATGGCTGCCGACAATGCATTCTTGCCCAATGCTTTATGGAAAGACATGTTTGGTTTCAATCCCTCCTAGCTAGCTTATGATCGAAGGTTTAGGAGTTAATTACTGCATCGATTAACCCAAATCAATGCTTATTAGCATTCCAATTAGAGATGTGACTGAGTGGAATCAAGTCAAGTGTTATGATATTCAAGATTGGCCCACATAAATTAAATCAAGCACATGTTAAGCTTCGATATCATATTAAACTTTAAAGTAGAATTCAAATTTGATTTATTAATTTTCATCGAGCTTGTTTATGAATATAACAAATCAAATAAATAAGATTTTTTAATATAATAATTATTTTAAAATTAATTTTTTTTATCTTAATCTCATATATTATATTCGATTTAAGTATAAAACTCTTTCGATACATCATCTGATATAATTTTCAAGTTATTTTATGATACGAACCCATGATCATGTGATTACATAATTTATACACTAAAAAAATAAATTTTAAAAAGTTATAGAATCAATTAATTTGATAGAAATGTGATACGAATATTATCTAAATTAAAATCTAAATTAAAGTACCAACACTATTAAAATGAATTTCTACTTAACAAATATTAATTCGTGAACGGAAAGGTTAAGAGAGATACTATAGACCAATAATACCTTGACAAGTCAAACTTTTTTTCCAGACAAAGAGAAAAGTGTTGTATTAAGCAACATAAAGGTTTATTCAAAACATTATGGCTAAAAAACAAATCTAAGTATAAGTTAAATAATCATATTTATAATAGGCTAAAAAATATATGCTTAACAATTCTAGAAAAGCAATAGTAGAGTTTTAAATAAAATAAAATAAAATCATAAATCATCTAAAAAACTAATATAAATTATGCTTAGTTTCTTCTAAACATTATTTCAAGAACTTTATGATCTTTGATTAACTTGAAATTCTAATCATGTATACAAAATAACTTCTAGAAACTTTTAGTAAAATTTAAGTTCGATCTAAAGGTCAGATCAAAACTTATTCTTATTAGCATAAAACTGTGCAATAGAAAATATCAACCCAAAACCAACTTTAATTATCTTAAATAAGCATGAAAATCTTTGTAATAACTCATGCCCTTTAGTTTCTTTATAGAAGATGGAAACTCCTAAAATATTCTATCATTCAATATTGTATTGCTCGTTTCCTTTTGTAGTTAGAATAAATAAAAAATTCGTGTAAGAAAAGAATTTTAGAACATTAAGGAATCATTACCACATTTGAAAACAATATCCTTGTCCATTACAAATCCTAAAAGAACTAGAAAACTCCCAAAAATAAACTGCTAAATATCCTTGTATCAGTAGAAAAGAAGTCTTTTCCAAATAAAAAATTTATAAGTCAAAATATAATAAATAATAATAAAACCTATATTGCATCTATTAATCTATATCACGAGGCATTTTTGAAATTCAATTTATCCAAAATTTTAGCTCAATATAAAATAATACGTCAGGAAACTTATGATAAAACTTTAGTTTAATCTAATGATTAAATTGAGAGTTATGATCAACAATATAAAACTAGATAAAAGATATAATTATATTAGAATTTAAATTTTCTTGTTCAAGCTTTTCTTGTATTATATCGCTTTGCATTCATAATATAACATAAATATTGTTTTTAGTTATATTTTTTAAATATATTTTAAATTTTTAAACATTTTGATATAAATTGATACAACTTGTTCATGAAGGTAATCAAGCTCTAAAATTATGACAAAACTTAATTTGTATATCCAAAAAGATCGAACTTGAACGAATACTCTATTGAATCGATTTTGAATCAAACTTGAGTAGTGGGGTTCGTTTTAGAACCCCAATTTTCAATGCAAAGATTGAATTATAGTATAAATTCTAGATAATTGCATCTACGAGCACGGTGATACAAAATTGTGTTGACTCCTGTAGGGATGGACTAGTGTTAATAGATTTGATCTTCCAGAGATGGTGGAAAGATAGCTAAATGGGTGGCTATAAAATAAACTTTGAGGGGTCCTGTGATAGAAATGCTACGAAGGCAAAACTGGCATGGCTAGTATGAGGTGAGGTTATGGGAGTTTCGTGGATTTGTTCCTTAAAAGTACGAGACTTTTGCAGCAAAAGAAAAGGCTGTTAATCATTGAAGTTGATGCTAGCATGTATTTGTAGAAATTTACCCACATTAGACTTAAGAGCATTTGAAATAAATGCCTTTAAAATTCACACAAATTCTATATTAAAGATATAATAATGACAATTGTAAAACGTCATTATATATGTATCTAACATTTATTTTAGTTTAGTTTATAGTGAGTGCATGATGCCTTGCTTTAACTGCATTAATTAAGTATTTACAATTTCGTGATAATTATTAAGTTTCAACATCCAATTATGAGAGCCATTGAAAAGAAAGAAGAAAAAAAGATGCCAGATCTAAGCTGTGCAAGTGTGTTTTTACGCACGAGCATGCTTTCAATAAAATATTAAGCTTGGAACGATTCCTAGAAATTATAACGAAATACAAATTTAAATTGCCACCTATATATATAAAAAACACACTTGCATGCTTTCAATAAAATATTAAGCTTGGAACGATTCCTAGAAATTATAACGAAATACAAATTTAAATTGCCACCTATATATATAAATAGACACATTTGTCATGTGTGTAACTAATAAAACAAAATTTTGAAATATTAACAAGTTTTTTTTTTAAAATTCTTAAATTATGATAATTAAGTTTATTGTTTATTATTTTTACTTAAACTAATTTTAGAAAATTAATATTATATATATTAAATAATTTTTTATATACATCAAATATTAAAAAAACTTAATATGAGATAAATGTCTTTAAAATACATTATATAATATTTGAAATTTTATCATATTATATCAATTAAAATATGCGCCATTTATAATCTTGTTATTTACAATTAGATTCTTTTCTAATAAAATTATTAAATTATGCGATACAATTTGTAATATTTTAAAATGGAATAACAATTAAACATTAAAACTCAAATATTGTATTAACAATGTAAACTAAATTGTAAGACAATGCTTAAAAAATGCATTTTCTTTAAAAAAATTAAAAAATATTTTAAAGGATAACAACAAATATTTGGTTATAAGATAAGAAAGATGGAGATAAAAAAGAAAGAAGAAGAAAAAGCTCAGAGAACATATTTTTATGTTCCTCTCTCTCTCTCTCTCTCTCTCTCTCTCTCTCTCTCTCTCTCTCTCTCTCTCTCTCTCTCTCTCTCTCTCTCTCTCTCTCTCTCTCTCTCTCTCTCTCTCTCTCTCTCTCTCTCTCTCTCTCTCTCTCTCTCTCTCTCTCTCTCTCTCTCTCTCTCTCTCTCTCTATATATATATATATATATATATATCAGGGACACTAACCAATAATTAATCACGAGAAACCACTGCCAGGCAGGCACCATAATTAACAACACAATATGCACTTCCCATTTATTCATTTTTTTTTTTACAGTACATTACTCTCTCTCAACAAACCAATATTTACATGGTGAAGTTGACAAATTAGTGTAATAAAGCTGGGAAAAAAAAAATAAAAGCCCTACTCATGCTGCCATATATCTTACCATAGCCAGCTTCTTTTGCTCATTTCAGCTGTATCTCCCTATCTCACTTATTTCTTTTGTTCTAAATAAATATATAGAACATTTGATCTGTGCCCAACACCGGCCTCAAGGTACAAAGGCTCAGATGTCAGCAGCTTAGTAGCATAAAGAGACAGTGATGCTTTTGATCATAATATATAAGATGGTAATAACTTCAGGTAGTCTGCTGTAGTAATATTCTATTTTGATGGAAGTCGGTCACCACTATATTGATATATTTGCTGTAGTCTTCTTCATCACTAGCTAGTATTCTATGATATATCCTCCCATTGGAGATCTGTGTGGAACTCCCTTCCTCCTCTTGGCAGTCCTATAATTATTCATAGCACTTGGAGGTGGGGTTGATGGTGTAAAGCTTTGTACTTTGCTTCTAGCACCTCCGTTGCCAATGCCTTTCATTGATTCTTCAGTGTCTGAGCCATCCATCTCCTTGTACCTTTTTTTCTTCCTAAAATTCTTTGATGTTCCAACAATCTGCAATGTTATTCAATTACAACTGGCACAACGATATTGAGCATGAGAAAAGTAATTATAGCGGAAGGACCTTCTTTTAATAAGAAAAGACAAATCGATCGAGCTAGGTTTATTTGATCTAGCTACACTGGAAGTTTGTAAGGCTCGGGCTCTCCTCCACCTCCTCAAATAAATGAAGAATTAAATGTTTTTCCATTAACTTCTGAGGGGGGAGGGGGCTGGCGGAGTGTTGACAAGAAGAAAGTACCATAAAGCTCTTAATTTCCATGGGTGAAAATATTCCGCACAAGTGAATCAACTCTCTTCCCAAGTAAAATTAAACAAAGTCAACATATACGGAAGTAAGACAAAAGAAAAAAGCAAAATATTTAATTTAATCTATTAAAAGAAAAATATTGATTAAAATTTCAGTTGACAAAAAAGCAAAGGAGTGGAAATAAAAATTAAAAAAAAAGGAAATATGTGCGGGCGTATTTTACCTTGCAACCAAGAGAGCAAAAACTGAAGGAATCCAGGAGGCTACGCTCACAGACATGGCAAGTGTTGGTAACACCTTTACCAGGCCTAGGCTGAGGCCTCTCATTCAAGAACACAATTCTAGCACTGTTGATAATGTATGTCTGGACTCCTGTTATGTCCAAGTATTTCTGAATTTCAGATACCCTAATCACATCATGGTATGATGACCTCCTTATCTACAAGAAGACAACGACACAATGCCATCAATGAGTAATTTGATTAAACCATAATAGACAAAAAAATCATGTGCTAGATGCCCTTGTCTCAATTAAAAAAAAGCCATGGATTCAGGATTGAACACTCCAAATCAAAGAGACACGTGCCATTGCTGAAACCGATGCAAGTTCATGTGATTTTGGACATATCATTAGATGAGAGACATGGGGATATCTTGGGAAGAAGAGCAGTGCCCATGATGACTGCAGTGTTTTTGTGTATTGCTACTTTAAAAGAATGGTGAATAAAATCCTTAGCACTTTGCACATACCTGAATAGCTCTATGGTCACTGTGGAGTGAAAGACAAACAGAACAAAGGGCACCGTTCATGCAATCCAAGCAATACATATTGCATTCACTCTTGTGAGCATCAGCATGAAGCTTGCATTGAACAAAGAAGCTTGTTTCAAGAAGTGGATGCAGCCATGGTGGCCACTTGATATCTTCTTTATGATCATCAACATCATCAGGACCACCACCTCCCTATAATATACTCAAACAAGATTAACATAGATTTGATTTCAGCACCATTTGTAATCAAGAAATAATTAAAACACAAGATGGACACAGACCACATACATACGTATGTGGTTTGATGTTAATCTTGAGTTCTATTTCTTGATTACAGATGATACTCCCAACAAGATACATAAATGTGAGATACAGCACTAGTGGTAGCCAATTAATTATAATTACCATGATTCTTCTGATGTTGGGTTTGATTTCTCTCACAGTGGTTTCTTGATCATTGATGATCATCTATGGACAGTTTTGGAGAAAGAAAAGAGAGCTTTTTGTCACAGAAAGAGAGAGAGAGAGACAGAGATAGAGAGAGGTGGGGGTAGGAAATTGTAGTGGTGGGTGGTGGATGGGGTGTGGGAGGTGCTTATCTTTGGGCATAAAAGTCTACCACCGAACCTCTACACCCGAACCTAAACCAAAAAATTAGATGCGTTTGGTCCAAGGAACTCACCATTAATTCTTCTCCATTTCTTTTCCTTTGCTACATGTTGTTTTTGTTAGACTTTCTAATTTCAAAATTAATATTTTCATTTCTTACTTTTTTTTCTTCAAGTTTTTTTATTTTAATTATAAATATTTGGATTAACTTATACACTACACACCTTAATTAATTATCTAAGATTCTTAAATTAATAATTATATAAATTTTTAATAACATGAAATTTATAATATTTAAACTAATAATTTTTAAATAATAAATTCACGACCAACTAATTGAATTAAACCCCTAAAATTTAATATTAACATTTCGAGCATCACAGATAGGTTTTGGTGGTCTTGACACATGAAGGAGTGGATGATTATGCAAAACTAGAAAATGCCACGTGTTGGACATTTGTATTCCGTAGGGTGCCGAGGTGGGACTTTGGTATTGCCACCTGAAAGAATAAAACAGTGCTTCGCAATGTGGGGGGAAAAAGAAAAGAAAAAAGAGTACCTGACAATAAGGAGAACCTGTGGATGCTGTTAGGTACAGAATATAATAATTTTGGTGGATTTGTTTGCTGGCTAGATACCCAAGTTAGAATTCTACGTATATTATTCCAATTTGTTCCAATGTTTATGTTATTTTAGGCGTCCTTTATATATGTTTTCGTTAAATAGGGTTCTTATTATTTATTATTTTATTTTTTTAATGTTTGACTTGTATGAAAAGATTTGATCATCAAAAATATTTTAAGATGAAATAAAAGAATTTACAATAAGAAAAATAACTAACAATGCTGGAAAGATGAAAATATTTTAGAAAAAAATTATTAAATTATAATGCCACCATTAAATCTTTCCTTTCTTCACACTTGTTTTTTAAATAGTTTTATTAACACAACTTAAGAATGAGAAAATAATATATTTTTTTTAAACATATTTGAATGGTATTATTCATAATTCATAATTTATTTTTATTATTTAAATTGCTAAACATACTTATTTTTAGATTTTTTTTCAAATAAAATATAGTTGAAAATAAACATTCATTTATTTTATAATTCAAAAACGTTAAAATTATGTTTTACTAAATCCTCTTATTGTGGGATTCTACTTTTTCAAGAAATTTAATTTTATTCAATAAGTTAACTCTCATATTAAATGACAACAAAATTATATATTAATTAAAAGTAATAAGACTTTTAATTAATATTTAAAAATGTATTTTTATTAAGCTTTTATATCATCATTTTGCACTTGAAATATCAATAACTCCTTAACTAAAACATGTTTTATAATAACATATCTAATAATATAAAATACCTTTAATTTGCAGTAAATATTCATTTTAAATGCAGGCCTATCACATAAATCAAGAAATTGATTGATGAGTTTAAGAACTTAAATTGAAAGGACAAAGAGATGGCCAAACTTAAAAAAGAGATCCCGGTGCAATCCAAACCGGAACACTATTTGGTAATTGGGTCATATCTGAAGCTGTACATCTCGGATTTAAGTCTACTTTATATAGATGGAAAGGTAAGACATAGGCCTGCAACTTTCATATAGAGCCTAAGATTTAAAAAGGTCATTTTCAAGTCTAAATTGTAGTAAAAACAAAGAAGTCCGAATATGTCCTACAACCCGAACACTGTTCAGTGTTTGACCCATATCTAGAGTTGTAGAAGTCCAAATGACCTCCATTTTTTTCCTAGAAAGCTAAGATAATTTCCTACAACTTTCATGTTTTCAAGTGGTTCGAATTCTAATGTTATCGATGACGTTTTGGGCTAACAAGAGAAGATAAGGATTGTTATCAAATTAAGAGTTAGCCACCCACTCATCAATTAGTCATCAAATCAATAGTTTTCAATTTTGACCTATAAAAGGAGGCATTTGCCATGCATTTAGGCATCTTGGTCTCTAGGTCAAGATCATGCTCTTACTTTCTCTCTTTATATTTTTGTAATGCTTAAGTTTTGCTTTCATTAATATCTTGTTCATGCCTTTCATTTCCTTTTCTTTACTTAGTTAACTTTTATCTTATTTATGTTCTTATTTTGTTGATTTATTTTTCTTTCTTTCATTATTTTTAGTTAAGTTGATTATACCAAGGTGAAAAGGTTATATTAATGGTGTAAGAATAAGTCTAGTATAAAGTTAACATGTACTTTAATGTTTGATACTAACATGTTTTATATTTGTTATCTTTTTCCCTATTTAATACTTTGTTTGTTAAATAACTAATCTAAATTTATGTTGTATAACACTTAGTATAACAAATACTTGACACTTTTATAATATATACTGACACGACTAAAAGATTGATGTCTTCTCCCAAGTGCAGGAGTGTCGAAGTAAAAAATAACCCGGCAAGACCGGGGTCGAACCACAGGGAGATTATTTGTACAAATTATAAATAACAATAATACAATAACAATAACAATAACAATAACAATAACAATAACAATAACAATAACAATAACAATAACAATAACAATAACAATAACAATAACAATAACAATAACAATAACAACAATAATAATAATAACAATAACAATAATAATAATAATAATAATAATAATAATAATGATAGTAGTAGTAGTAGTAGTAGTAGTAGTAATAATAATAATAATAATAATAATAAAGAAAGAGAAGAAGAAGAAGATGATAAGAACTTGGAGATGGAAAATTAATGTAAGGATTAAACAATAATAATAACAAATGTCAAGGTTAGAGGTTCCACTAATGGTATGTCAAACAAGTATAGTATAAACTCTTATTATTCAATTGGAAACCACACACAAAGGAGGTTCCAATGAGATTATAGATTGTTAACATGATTACATTAGTCATCTTATTCAATTAATGCTACTACTTGTAAATCTCGTCAAGCATTCATGATTATAACTTATGTTAACAACAAATCTACTTGTAAATTCCGTCAAGCATTCATGATTATAACTTATGTTAACAACAAATCAAGTTCCTTTCATAGCTCAGGTGTCGGTTATACCATACATTATGGGCTATGAAAGTGCCAAGCATTTGTTGTACCAAGTGTTATACAACATAAATCAAGATTAGTCATTTAACAAGCAAAGTATTAAAGAGTGAACAAGATAACAAATATAAAACATGTTAGTATCAAACATTAAAGTCCATATTAAGTTTACACTATACTTATTCTTACACCATTAGTATAACCTTTTCACCTTGACATAATTAACTTAGCTAGACATAATGAAAGAAAGGAAAATAAATAAACAAAATAAGAACATAAAAGTTAACTAAGTAAAGGAAAGGAAATGAAAGGCATAAACTTAATATTAATGAAAACAAAGCATAAAAAATACAAAGAGAGAAAGGAAGAGCATGATCTTGATCTGGAAACCAAGATGCCTAAATGCATGGCAAATGCCTCCTTTTATAGGCCAAAATTGGGAACTATTGATTTGATGACTAATTGATAAGTGGGTGGCCAACTTTTGACTTGGTGACAATCCTTATCTTCTCTTGTCTGCCCAAAACGTCATTGATAACGTCAAAATTGGAGCCAGTTGCAAACATGAACGTTGTAGCCAATTGTCTCAGCTTTCTTGTGTAAAACATTCAGCTCATTTGGACTTCTAGAACTCTAGATATGGCCAAAATACCGAACAGTGCTCGGGCTGGAAGACAGATTCGGGCTTCTTTGTTGTTGCTACGATTTGGACTTGATAATGGCCTTTTTAGATCTTAGGCTCCATATGAAAGTTGTAGGCCTATGTCTTACCTTTCCATCCATATAAAGTGGACCTAAATCTGAGATATATAGCTCTAGATATGACCCAATTACCGAACAGTGTTCCGGTTTGGATTGCACCGACATCTCTTTTCTAAGTTTGGCCATCTCTTTATCCTTGCAATTTAAGTTCTTCAAGTCATCAATCAATCCTTTCATTTATGTGATAGGCCTGCATTAAAAATAGACATTTACCACAAATTATAGGTATCTTATATTATTAGATACATTATTATAAAACATATTTTAGTTAAGGAGTTATTGATACTTCAAGTGCAAAATGATGATATAAAACCATGATAAAAATGCACTTTTAAGTACTAATCACACCCCCCAACCAGCTTATTGCTAGTCCCTAGTAATCAAAGCGTAAAATAGAAAAACAATTTGTATATTCCACAAAGTAAGGTATTCATCATTTAACTTCCATTAGTCTATCCAGATAAACAAACTCTCATTAAATTTATATATCTGCTCAATACCTCTTAACAAGATATTAATAAACCTTTCTTTTGGGCCCAATGTATCAACACATAATTATGGGGCTTTTCTTGGAAGAAAACAAAATTTTTGTTCAAATGTTTAAGGTTAACTTCCTTGGGTTGGGATTACTATTTTTGTCTTTTGTCTTTTTTTTTTTTTAACTCTATATACATATACTTTAAAAACATCATGCATCTTTAACCCATGTAACGAGCTTTCAGCTAATGACTCCCAGACCAGTTGGTCTTAGGGCATTAGGTGTTAAGACACCCCTACGAGCTTAGTAACTCGGGTCGCAGATACTGATATGTAGATAGTGCAATGTTTGATTCCCTTAAGCTTTTCTCCTCAACCCATGTAACAAGCGTTGGGCCAATAGCTCCCAAGTCAGTTGACTTTAGGGTATTAGGTGTTAAAACACCCCTTCGAGCTTAATTGCTTAGGTTAGGGAGGCTACGAAACCAAACTTATCTACATTTTTATTATCATCATTTTTTTTTCTTTTTTTCTTTTTTTTTTAATTATATACAATCCCTTTCTCTTAGTTGTTACCTTTAACAAAAGAACATAAATAATGTAATAATCCAATATGCAACCCACAATCATATGTTAAAGTGTGTGTGTGTAAATTAAGGTTTAAGAATACATGTTAAATAAGTATATGAG